TAAATGTTCCACAAATTTTTTATTTTTTTTTTAAGATTATTTTTTAAGTAATCTCTACACCCACCATGGGGCTGGAATTTACAACCCCAAGATGGAGAGTTGCACACTCTACCAACTGAGCCAGCCAGGTGCCCCAAATTTTTAAAATCCAGTTCCTTCTGAATCCAAACAAACCCCATTCATTTGGCCACGTTTTAATGCTTCATTTTCAAATAAACCCAAGAAGTTGAATATGGCTGGAAAGTAGCACATGAGAGAAAGAACATTCTTTGAGACAACAGTCATTAGATAATTAAGGTCAGATCATGAAGGGTCTTAAATGCCATGCTAAAGAGGTTGGTTGTTTTCCTGAAAACAGTGAGGTGCCACTGAAGGTAAGAGGTTGGCATAAACAGTAGAATGATCAAATAAAGCTTCTTTCAGAGAATCATTCTGGCTGCAGTATAGATTTAAAAAGGATAAGACTTCAAGCTGGGAGATAAGTTTTCAAGAGAGAGAACAAGGGGTCGCAAGTTCCAGTGCCTGTAGGAGCCAGACATAACATGAATGAAGTGGGCCAGTTCCAAGACAACAGGGAGAGGTGAGCACTGCAGAAAATGAAAAGCACGTCACTAAAAAAAAACCACTATTCAGCTCCAGTCAATTGTTTTCATGCAAGAATATTGCCCAGTATTGCTAGACCTTCCAAACAGTCAAGAAAATTTTAATGTAACTTTCTCATCTTCAAAATTGTGCAAAAACAAAAAAAAACCACACACACACACAAACCAAATATGGGCCGTATCTGGTACAAAAGTCATCAGCTTGCAACCTGTGGCTCAAAATAAGGTAATGTCAGTAGAAATGAAGAAAGAAAACAAACTCAAAGGGGTGCCTGGGTGGCTCAGTCGTTAAGCGTCTGCCTTCGGCTCAGGTCATGATCCCAGGGTCCTGGGATTGAGGCCCGCACTGGGCTCCCTGCTCAGCGGGGAAGCCTGCTTCTCCCTCTCCCCCTGCTTGTGTTCCCTCTCTCGCTGTGTCTGTCAAATAAATAAATAAAATCTTAAAAAAAAAAAAAACTCAAAGGATATTATGAAGGAAGAATTGTGATAGTGATCAGTTGGGTGTGGGCAGAAGAGACAGGTAACAATGGATGACTTCCAGATTTCCAGTTTGGTCACTGGGTGGATGGTGTGCCATTCACTAAACCGTGAAACACAGGTAGATAGCTATAGCTAATCAGCAGAAGGAATGTTAAGACTGGGAAGACAGAAGTCATTTTCAAGCTGTTTGCCTGGGTTCTTTACCCACCAACACTCCCACTGCTACATCTTCAGCTCAGCTGCATCAGTGATACCTGGGCAAGTGATGAAAACAGGAAAAATCAAAGTGACATCTGGAACTAAGCAGACTAAGTCTGAGAAAAGTTGGGTAGATATACCCATCAAATGGAACCATCCACGGGGGGCTAACAGTGAGGTCGGTGGTATTATCTGATGATGCCAGGATGGGAACAGTCCTGGTGACCTAGAGTTACAACCAAAGTGACCAATCATTGCAGGCTGTGAGATCTGGGCAGCTGAGCCAGTTGGGGACCTCAAAGTGTTAGGAAAATGAAGTAACAGGGAATCCAGAAAATACCCTCTCCACTTAGAGGAAGCTAGATTTCAAAGATTGAGACTATGACCTCTTACCCATTACACACCATCCATGGTTGCTGGAATCTGAAGGCATTAACCTATCTTTATCCCAACCACATACTGGTCACGAGACTTCCTGGAGAAAGGAAATTCTGCCATTTGGGACAATATACATGTACCTTGAAGACATTATGGTAAGTAAAATAAGCCAAAGACAAATACTATATAATCCACCTACACATGGAATCTAAAAAAACCAAAGAAAGAGAGAGCAGATTGGTGACTGCCATAGACAGGGGGTGCGGATAGGGGAAATGGGTGATGGCGGTCAAAGGTAAAAACTTCCAGTTACATGATGAATACATTCTGGAAAAGTAATTACAGGCTGAAAAAAAAGCTAACAACCTAAATGGGAAGTAAGAGAGCCAAAGGGGTTTCTTAAAAGGAGGCCTCCTTCACCTGCAGCACAGAAGCACTCACAGCTGAGTAGCAGGCTGAGGATTTAATGAGTTGAATTCCAGAGAAGCTTAAATGCTCAAAGTGGTAGTTATGCTAAGGTCAGGAGCCTGATTAGAAAAACTTGGAACCCTGAAGTATGGTATTAAGACATCTGGGTGGAAGCTCCCAAGGATACTGGCCCTGCAGACGTCCATGAACCCTGTTTACAGAGGTGGCCCATCACTCCCTATCAAGAGCTAGCACTTCCCCCATGCAGAAGACTCTCTTAAAGAGGGCCATCCTCACAAAACGTGTCCTCTTCCTGGTACAGAGATGCCTCCACCTCATTTCTTTTCTGCCAGGCCAGTAACTAGGGTTAAATCCCAGCATAACCCAGCTGGAAATGCACTGGGCCTAATAAGGGAGTAAAGAAATTGTACCTCAAAGAACTCTAAGAACCAGCTAGCAGGTGTTGGTAGAAGGCAGGGGAATACCCCTGGAATTGGATCTTGAGAGTGCTTAATCAAGGGGACCAGAACATAAAATTGGGTTAAGAAGTCATTGACTTAGAAGCATGTTCTCAGTACTCAGGATTTAACACCTTGGCCAGGAGCCTAGGGAATGGGGGTAAACTAGCTGCAGGAGTGCCTTTCAGAAACCAGGGGGAAAAAATGGCCAACACTCAGCAAAGTGAAAATGCTGGAGTTGCCCTGGCAAAGGAATCAAAAGGTACAGGGAGAATATGCCAGTGCCTCTCTGCAGGCCAGGACTGAACATGGTAATAGCCACGAAGATCACAGGGCTACTAAATAATTAAGTCAGGTGGGCAGCACTTGTAACAAAGGTCAAGGGACAATTACAGGCATACCTCATTTCACTGTGCTTCACTTTATTGCACCTCGCAGATATCGCATTTTTTACAAATTGAAGGTTTGTGGCAACCCTGCATCAAGCAAATGTATTGGCACCATTTTCCCAAAAGCATTTGCTCACTTTGTGTCTGTATCACATTTGTACATCTTCCAAGATTTCATTATTATATATGTTATGGTAATCTATGATCAGTGATTATGACTTGCTGAAAGCTTAGATGATGGTTAGCATTTTTTTGGCAATAAAGTATTTTTTAACTAAGTTATGCACTTTTTAAAGACATGTTATTACACACTTAATAGATTATTGTACAGTATAAACATAACTTTTATATGCACTGGGAAACCAGAAAATTCACCTGACTTGCCTTATCAAGGTATTTGTTTTTACTACAGTGGTCTGGAACCTAACCTACAGTATCTCCAAGGTATGCCTATAACAGACAACTTCTAGCATAGGTAACTCAATCCTAAGTGAACTTCTATTTTAATCCTATCTTTAGATTCATCATCAAAATTATCTTGACAGGGCTCCTGGGTGGCTCAGTCGTTAAGCGTCTGCCTTCGGCTCAGGTCAGGATCCCAGGGTCCTGGGATCGAGTCCCACATCGGGTTCCCTCCTCGGCGGGAAGCCTGCTCTCCCTCTCCCACTGCTTGTGTTCCTGCTCTCGCTATCTCTCTGTCAAATAAATAAATAAAATCTTTAAAAAAAAAAAAATTATCTTGACAGTTTATGCCTATCTCTGTGATCTAGCATCAGGCTCAACTTCAATGGAAGTTTTACATACATACATTCCTAGCTCTAGAGAACTTTGAGATGATAATCAGACATCAACTGGGAGAAAGAAATCCAAGTGGGAGTACGAGGGCACAGAGAGCAGGATGAATAGAAGGAAGATGTTTGGAACTGGTAGGCTTTAATAAGAAAGTTCCACCCCTTTCCACTTACTTCTTACAGGTTTTTATCTTATCCTCCAAACCAAACCAAGTTACTGAAAATGTATTTAATATTTGGGATGGAAATTTACCTCTCCTGTTTTCCCCTTCCCCATCAGAGACAACTCCCAGGAACCCAAAAAATATATATACACATTCAAATACAAAGAAAACATGCATTCAAGTGATTGTTTTACATTTTCGTAACATTTTAACATTTAATAGAAACTATATACAATTTTTTATTGTATCTTACATAAGATAGCCACTACAGAAATTTACATAGGTTAGAAGCAAGATGGATGGTTAAGGAGGGCCCAGTCCTGTGGGCTATTCTCAGAGGTTATAGGTCAGAGTTTAGTGGAAGAAGGGGTTCAGATTACCAATCAGGTGAGAGGTGAAGAAACGCTAAAACACAGGCCATTGGAAAGAGATAATCAGACACTGGGTTCCATTAATATCCCAAGGGAACACCTCTCCTACCTAAACACATATGTGTATTTGTGCCTGGACTTGGGAATTCCCATTACAAAGATCTCTCTCCCCTTAGGCGCAATCCCAAATACTCTCTCAATCCCAGCAGCTCTGACAGGAATCACCTCTCTCTCTTCCTTGCGCAGAGTGGGAAGACACTATTGGTCCCTCCCCCACAAATATGGTTTATGTTTGACTAGAGCACTCAACCCAGAGGAAAACCGTCGTAGTCTGAGTTGTCCTTCAGTGAGAGACAGTCATAAATACTTGTTTAAAGAATGGAAAATTCAAATCCGCCAAAGTCAAATGGTTCCCCAAACAAATTATCAACTGATAGAAGAGGATTCTGGCTTCCCATTTGCAGTAGCCACTCCGCTCTGAGGCAGTGGTGCAGAGGCTTTCTCAGAATTTCGAGACCCCTGTGATCTGTACCCATCTCCAGCCATCTGCATCTGGCCCTGTTAAAAGAGAAGTCACTTTGGTTACAAATCCATTCATTATGGTCTGAAACATGAATCTGACTTACCAAGATCAAGACAGGAGAAATACAGTTAACTCTGAGACGTTACTCTTCCCCATACTTAACTATCCCTGACCCTTGGAGTCAGCAGTCATGACACGTAGCATTCCTAAGGCCCTCCCAACAAGAGGGAGAACTGTGGGTTGTTTCTTCCGATGAAACAGCCATTCTCTGCTGAGGTTCCAGAACAGCCAGATCACAGGAAGACAGTCCTTTGGGCCTCTGCTTGAAACCAACAGCTACAGTACAACTGCTAGTCTTCAGTCAGGGCCACCAGTACCCCACCCAAGGCTCAAAGAAGCCAAATCACATTACTTGTCCTTACTCTATGATGAAAACAATTCCCATGCTGAACTCTCCCTTTCAAATGAACCATTTATGTAGATTCCTTGTCTTAACCTCTTCTAGTTAACTAAACAAACATGTGTCCTGCTCTCTGAGATTCTGAGCCTAGTGGTGTTCTCTCTAAGGGCCCAACTGGAGAACTGCCATCTGGAGCACCCCTACAGTCTACTCATGATGACAACCCCACTCACTGGGAGTACATGCTAGCCATAGCCAGCAGGGAGACCTGTGCCTGGATGGGGTTGTCCTTCACTTGCCAGAATATCCACTGGGCCTTCAGCAATTTCTTTGACTGAATGATCTTCAAGGGTTAGTGAAGGATCAAAAAGTAAGGGTGAAGGAGGGCACTGCATACCATCACCCACAACATCCAAGTCCTAGGAAAAGAAAGAGAGAAGCCCATCAGCAAAATCAAGGGAACCAATAAACTGAAGCTGGCATATTTTTCAACAAACCTCAAAGCAATTTTCCCATATTTCCCTCACCCCCTTCCTACCTTTAATCAAAAAAAGATTTTCCCAGAATGTCCAACAAATGGAATAAGATCCAAAAGCACTAAGAACTTTTGCTCGCTGCTGAGTATAAAGCACAGACCACTATACTAGCTTTAATAAAAAAAAAGTATTTTCAAAGAGAAAAATTCAGAGACAAAAGGTAGAATAGTAGCTACCAGGGGCTGGAGGGAGAGAGGAAGCAGGAATTATAGTTCAATGGGCACACACAGTTTCAGGACTGACAGAAAGTTCTAGAGATGGACAATGGTGACAGCTGTGCGATACTGTGATTGTACTTAATACCACTGAATTGTACACGTAAAAATGGTTAAAACAGTAAATTTCATGTTTTACGAATACTTTACCAAAAAATTTTATTTAAAAAAAGTGTATTCCTTCTAAGACTAACTGTAGTCACCATCTAAGTTCACCAGTGGTGAATCTAATATGGACAATCAGAATAATCACAAACTAAAATAAAATATTACTTTAAAAGATTGGACAATATGCAGGGTGCCTGGCTGGCTCAGTCAGTAGAGCATGCGACTCTTGGATCTCAGGGTTGTAAGTTCAAGCCCCATGATGAGCAAAGAGCTTACTAAAAAAAAAAGACTGGACAATATGAGATTGCTTGATTAATGTCTTAACAGTCACAGTGAGCTAGGAAATACTATTCTGATTAAGTCCCTATCCCCACCCAGAAATCCCTAATTCTTAAACAAAACATACTTCAATTGCTCTTTAAAAAGGCAGGGGGGGGGGGCACCTGGGTGGCTCAGTTGGTTAACCGTCTGCCTTCGGCTCAGGTCATGATCTCAGGGTCCTGGGATGGAGCCCCATGTCAGGCTCTCTTTTCAGTGGGCAGTCTGCTTCTCCCTCTGCCTCTGCCCCTCCCCCCGCACTCCTGCTCTCCCCTCTCCCTCCCACTCTCTCAAATAAAACCTTTTTAAAAAATTAAAAGAAAATTTAAAAAAAAGAAAGAGGGGCACCTAGGTGGCTCAGTCGTTAAACGTCTGCCTTTGGCTCAGGTCCTGATCCCAGTGTCCTGGGATTGAGCCCCGCGTCGGGTTCCCTG